AAAATGAATAAAATTTAATAATAAAAAATAAATATATAAAAAAGTAAAGTTTTTCTAGCATGAAGAAAAGGCAAGAGATAAGAGGGGAAAACAGTGAATGATAATTCAAAGGTTCCTATCTACCAGTTGCTCCTTGGGACACAGGCAATCTCCCATACAGCCTTTGAAAACCTGAAGTTCAGCTGTGAGTTTGTTCTGACTTAATTAAAATTAGTTGTGAGATGTTTTCTTCTCAAATTGCAAAGAAACCAAAACAAAACTTGACCAGGTAAATTCACTGGATCACTTTTTAGAGTATGCCAATGTTTCCCTTAGCTAAAAGACAAGTACAAACCATAGTGGCAAATAAAAGGGAACAAGTATGAGGCCAGCTTCTGATGACAGAAGACAAAACAGCATCAACAGGTTTTTCCAAACAGTGAGACAAGGCCTCTCCTCCATATTTCCTTTCAAGGAAGGAGGTCTGTCCTTTTGGGTTACAAGTTTCTAATCTTTACATTTTACCTTAAAACAAAGCAAACTCAAAAAGTGTGACAAGAACTGCATGCCTGATCAAAGTGACTTTAACGTACAAGAAATGAAATCAGATGATCAAAGTTATAGAGCAAAATTTCAGCCAAAGTTGCACAATTCATGTGCAACAAGGAATGAAAATCTACTTTTCTGTGTTAAAAATCACAATTAAAAATTTAAAACCAACAAACAAAAAATCACCCTAAAACAAAAAGAAACCAAAGCTCAAGAATGCATTTATAATCCATGAGCTAGTGTTCAGAATGAGTAAGGAAGATCACACTCTTTCTGCCATGGCTTCCTAACTCTGAAATTCTGTCTTGATAGGACTGTTCTTGAGTATGTCAGTGAGTATTTTCTGAGCACTCTCCCACCACCCATCTACACCCTCCAACATCCACTCCTGTTCAGGCTTCATGCTGTGTGCGCGCGCACTGCCAGTGCTGAGTAAGGCAGGGTTTATGAGCATTCATGGGCACACTTGGGTATGTGTGCACACCCACACCCACACCCATACCCTGCCCCATTCTTGTGCCTTCATCCAATTACTTGAAGAAGTTTAGGATTCTTTTACTAGAAAACAATGTGAATAAATTATAGATTGAAAATTTCATTTTATTTCAAAATGAGAAATAAACTGAGGCAGAGTTCTGACCATGTAGTACTTCTGCAGGCATTGTGAAGTCAGACAAACAGTTCCACAAGGAATCCAGTTAGACCCGAAATGACAACAATAAATTTTTGGATTGACAGAGATAATTTCTTTAATCATCAGGGATTTTGAAAAATTACCCACCCTAATTTCAGAATTCATAAAAATTAAAAAATCATTCTTTTGCCATTTTTCCTTTGAAGATGTTTTAGCAATTCACAGGACTTGTTTTCTTTCATTTTTAGAAGCATAGTAGCTACATGTCAATTTACTTAAAATTAGAGAGGGAAAACCCCATAATCCTCGGGGACTCATAAACTGAAGGCTCACATAAATATGAACTCATGTTCACATTTCATCTTTTCTACAAATAGCAATAAAATGTTTGTAAATACAGTAGCAGTTCACACAAATTTGACACACGTCCACACAAGGATTCAGTAAATAACAATAAATATAATTGCCGCTCTTCAAAACAAAAAAGGGATTTATAATAGGACAAAAAAAGGATCATGTACTTGGGGTTCATCAGTACACTACTTTAGTGTACACCGAAGGAATTAAAAAAAACCATTAAACTGGATCCACTGAATACTGAACCATATTTTTGTGTTTGTTTTTAATCCTAGCTTAAATACTTACATCATGGCTTTATATTAAAATCCGTAAATCAATGCAAATTTGCAGTAGTTAAGATTCTATTAAAATGTTTTTAATCATTAACAATTTCATTAAATTAAAATAATCTGTTATTTCCCTTCAATGCTGGGTTGAAGCCTGATCTCTGCTGTGATGTCCTGTGAAGTGAACCTAATTTTCAGAGTGAATATGAATGCCTGGATGGCAGAGCACGTCACTTCTTCCCTCATGATTCCTGGTGGGTCCTCTTCGGTGAGGCTTTTCCCTGAGTCATGTATTTACTGGAAAGGCTACCTATTGAAGAGAAAAAACAAAACCCAAAATAAATAAAACAAGCCTCACTTTCTCTCAAAAGCTACAAAATCATTTATTGTTAAATATCCACAGTAAAAATGGTCACTTGTTTTCAGTCATATAATTTGGCTAAGTAGTAAAGTTATTGTATGGAACACAACACACTACTTAAAATTCCTTATAAAAGCAGACAAGTGGCTAGAGTGACACCATTCTATTATCTTTTCATGTTCACCATGTTCATGTTTAGACTGACAACAGCAGCTGTAATAATGGGCTCAAACATAGCAACGACTGTGAGGAAAGTAAAAAGCGATGTTATATTTCATCCTGTTATCTGTGGTCACCAAGCACCCGAGATGACCCTAGGCCATCCAACAGCAGTAAATTCATGTTGGTATAGCAGGTCAAATGAGATCAATTGTTCTAAGTTCTGCTTTGCACTGGTCACAGTCTTTATTTGCAACAAGACAGAATGAACCACAAACAATTCTTTCATTAGAAAGAAATATTTCACATCATTGTAACAATAACTTATTGATATCAAGGGAAGAAAGGAAACAGGTGAAGGACATGAAAGAGTTGTTAAAGATACACACACACACACGACGTAACATTGAATATATCTTGAATCTGAACAAAGAGATGAAGTAAGAAAATAGTAAATAAATGGTATTTCACATCAGCAGAGAAAAATATATCCATTAGTTGGTATTATGTCAGATATCTTGTGAGGTCTGTTGGGAGTTAGAGATGGCATTTCTCTGATAGTCTGAATCCACCAGCTTCTTCAAGGGAAAAAGATGAATAATCTCTCATGTTATTTACAGACTCTAAATACCTGCCATTGAATCAGGAGTTAGTTCCACTCAATGGCAATGAATTTGAAGTATTATGTCAAATAATGGAAGTATGTTTTGTTGTTATGTGCTGTCAAGTCACGTGTGACCCACAGCGACCCTATGTACACCAGCTCTGAACCCCACTGCACCAGTCACTGTATCAATCCATCTCATCCAGATCTTCTTCTCCTGTCCTGTCCCTCCACCTTTCCAAGCATGATGTCTTTCTCCAAGGACTGGTACCTCCTGGCTATATGCCCAAAGTATATGAGATGGAGCTTCAAAATCCTAGCCTCCAAGGAGAAACTTTGTTTCACCCTTTCTAAGACAGACCAATGTTTTCTTGGCAGTCCATGGTATGTTCAAGACTCTTCTCCTGTACAACTCAAAGGCACCAATTCTTCTTCTGTCATCCTGTCATTGTCTAGCTCTCCGAAGCATAACAAGTAATTATGAAGACCATGGCCTGGATTAGGTGCACTTTAATCTCTAGATTGACACTGCTGCTTTTCAGCACCCTGGAGAGGTACCTAATGGCAGATTTTCCCAATGCAATTTGTCTTTTGATTTCCTGACTGTTAAAGAGTGTTTGACTGTGGAGCCAACAACCTCAATCTCTTCTCCATCTATCATGGTGCTTCCAACTGGCCCAGTGGGAAGAGTCTTTGTCTTTTTGATGTTGAGCTTCAATCCATATTGAAGACTACAGTCCTTGACCTTCTGTAGCAAGTGCTCCAGGTCTTTTTCAGTTTCAGCAAGCAAGGTTTTGTCATCTGCATAACACAGGTTGTTGATGAGTCTTCCTTCAAGCTTGATGTCACATTCCTCCTTATAAAGCTCTGCTTCCCAAATGATCTGTTCTGCATACAGATTGAAAAGGTATGGAGAAAGGATGCATGCCTGACACACTCCTTTCCTGATTTTGAAACATGCAGTGTTTCCCTGCTTTGTTTGAAGGACTGCTTCCTGGTCCAAGTATAGGTTTTGCATAAGCACAATCAAGTGTTCTGGACTCCCAATTTCCTCGAGGTTAATAAAAATTTGTTACTATCTACACAGTCAAATGTCTTTGCATAGTCAATGAAATACAGATAGACATTCTTTTGGTACTCTTTGCTTTCTGCCAAGATCCACTGATATTGGCAATGATGTCTCTAGTGTCACAACCTCTTCTAAATCCAGCTTGTATTTCTGGTAGTTCTCTGTCAATGTACTGTCCCAGTCATTTCTAGATAATCTTCAGTAGGATTTTGCTAGTGGGTGATATTAGTGGTACTGTTTGATAATCTCCACACAATATCGGGTCACCTTTTTTTGGAATGGGAATACATATCGAACCTTCCAGTCAGGTGGCCAAGTAGTTGTCCTCCAGATATCCTGGCACAACTTAGTGAGCACATCCAGGGCAGTGTCTGTTTGCTGAAATACATCAACGGGTATTTGTTCAATTCCTGGGGCTTTATTTTTGCCAAGTCAGAGCAGCCTGAACTTCATCCCCATCACTTGTTGATCATATGTTACTTCTTGAAATCCTTCTGTGTCAGCCACTTCTTTTTGGTATCATGACTCTGTATATTCCTTCCATCTTCTTTTAATGCTTCCTGAATTATTAAATATTCTGCCCATACCATCCTTGAGCACTGCAACTAGAGGCTTGAATTTGTTCTTTCTTCAGTTTAAGAAATGCTGAGAGGGTTCAGTCCTTTTGATTTTCCGATTCCAGCTCTTTGCACATTTCATTATAATACTTTGCCTTGTATTCCTGAGCTATTCTTCGACATCTTCTATTCAGCCCCTTAACTTCTTGATTTACTCCCTTTGCTTTGGCTTCTTGGTGCTCTTGTGCAATAGTCAGAGTTTCTTCTGACACCCATTTTGGGCTTTTCTTCTTCTTACTTGTTTGTAGTGACTTTTTGCATTTGACCTTCTATTATGTTTTGTAGGAGGAATCAATTCCTTCCTTCCACTATACTTTTCCTTCTCTAGCAATGACAAATGAACTATATATTTAAATATAAGTGGACCCACAGAATAAGTAATAATCACAGAGTAAGTAAGAATTTCCCAAGTAAGCCAGGACATTCTTTACCGTTTAAGATATGTTTAATATGTCTTTCAGTGGAGAAGATGGATGACAGGTTGTAGGGTAAAGAAAAACAAGATACAAGTGAGGGAAAAATGGCAAATGACTATGTGGGAAAAGTCCAATATCAAGGCAGAACCAAAGAATTGTAAGTTTAAGCAAACTACCCATTTTTTACTATTAAATTGTTAGAAGCTAGATCAGGGAAAGAAGTGAGAAATTTTGCTAAGTAAATATATATTTAAACCTTATTAACAATATTTTAAATATAAATAAGTATAAAGAATGTCAAATTTCTCTGCTACACTAAGTTTACTGTGGATCATGTACATAAAATACCAAGGAGGCACAGAAAGAGAAGAACATTTTAAAAAGCACATAATAAAACTACATGTGTAATATTTTCATAAAAATAAAAAAGAGACTCCACCACTCATGTATTAGGTATCACATTTTCTTTAACCATAAAATAAGGGCAATAATGATACTTAGTGTCTTGGAAAAATTGTAAAGATTAAATTAATAAATAAATAAATAAAGACAATCTCCAAAACCTAAACAGTGATTAATACTAGAATGGAAGTAGTATATGGACAATTCTTATTTTACTGATTTTGTTTAATTGTACTTTCTAAGGCACAGAACTCTAGTGGCTTAGTGGTGAGGAGTTGATCTGCCAACTCAAAGGTATATGGTTCAAATCTAAAAGCTGCTCTTTGAAAAAAAGATGGGCAATCTCCTCCTGTGACATTAATTGTCTCTGAAAACCTGTTGGGGGTTCAGCTACGAGTCGATTCCGGCTCCATGGTACATGGGGGAATATTTAGAGTGGACTGGTTTAGACTTGGGGTAAAATACTTTACTGTATATTCCTACCACATATTTCAAAAAGGTTAACTCTAGATGAATTAAAATAAAAATAGGAAAAGAAAGCTTTAAAACTTTAAAAGAAAATGCAGATGGTGTCTTTGTATCCTGAGACTAGCAGAGAGTTTCTAAAAAATGAATAAAAAATCATGAACCACATCATGATAAAAATCATGGAAAAACATCTCAAAATACTAAAAAGAAAGTAATACCACAAAAACTGTAAGACTGGTTAAGAAAACATTTATAATGTATAGAAAAAAAAGTGTTCAAAAAAGTGATAAGTACAGAAAATACACAGTTGGACAACACTAAAATATTAAATTTTTTTAAAATTTTATTATTTTATTATTAGGATCCAACTGGTACAGGAGATTGCCCTTCCTTTTCCAGCGGAACATATGTGAATTTGAACCGCACACCTTCGGGATTGCAATGCAGCTTCTTGCCATTAGGCCACCAAAACTCCAACACCAAAGTATTTTTTATCTAACAGATTTTCAAATTTCAACTCACTGTTATCAAGTTAGTCCTTACTCAGAGCGACTCCACATCAGGTTTCTGAGGTTGTAAATCATATCAGGAAGAGAATTTGCACTTACTATGCTGAGTGCTCTGATCTTTAGATGGTGTTACTAACATTTTACAGATGAGACACAGTTCAGAGAAAGGGATTCTCTAGTCAGAGGTCCGCAACGTAAATATGAGGTCACAGGCTTCTGGAGGAAATCTCCAGTGGGTAACAAATAAATCTTGTACTACAGGGTCGCTGTGAGTCGCAGGCGACTCGACGGCACATAACAACAACAACATGGAAAGGAAGAGCTTTGGGGAACTCAACACAATGTAGCAAAGAGGCTTAGTGCTGGGCCTAACTACAAGGCTGCAGTGCCTTGTGCTCTGAACATTACAGCTGCTCTGTGGGAGAAAAACGATCAGCTTGCTAAGGTTTACACCGCCAAAATCCAGCTGTGGGCCTGTGAGTGGCAATCGATTTAACGCCAGTTGGTTTTTAGTGACACATGTTCACATTTATACTAACAAGGATAATTTGGGTAAATAAGTACTAATTTACCAGATAAATCTGATTGTCATAATAGTTTTGATGTACTCATCTGAAGAGCTTAATTTATAGGATTAGGTATCTGCATATAAATGCTTTTCAAAATGTGTCTAATACAAAATAAGACACATTCAATATGATAAAT